GCAGTGCCAGGAGCAAAGGCGTCAAGAGTGGATTAAGGCAGTTCATCGATACTGGCGCGGTCTTGTCGCACCGAAGATTGTTTTGTCGTGCACAGTATTACCAACTATTAACGGGGAGAAACGTGATGGCGCGTTTGTAAACTGAAGCTTACACATTATGAAATTACACATTTCCAGATTGGTTACCGGCTGTCCGAGACAACCACGTTGTAATGCGAAAAGGGCTGAGATTGCTAGCTTAATACACCACTGTTGAGATACCATACCAAGAGCCAAGCAAGTGTTTTATTCAGCTGCTGGCTGTAGACTTTTCGTTGCCGCTCAGAGTCAACAGATTTATGCTGCGTGTTCGCGCTGAGCGTTTATACGTGCAGGTCTTGCAAGCAACACCCACTGATAAGTTAGCAGGCTTAGGTGTTGCGATGTTGGATCGAAGTCATGAATTCGATCCCCGCATAAGTGGGCTGCATTTACATGGAAGCGAACTGTAACACTGTGCTTAGATTTAGGTGTAAGAATGGCAGGCAGGGCGTGTTGGTTTTGCATATTTCAAGCATTCGGTGGGATGACGCTCAATGCAAACAGAAGGGCACTCGGTGTGTGTGCACCCTCTGTCCGTTGTCCTCGTCGCGCCTGAGGGCCGGTTCACGCTAGCGGCAAGCATGCCTCGCCGTTTGACGGTCTCAGGCAGCCGGGCACTGCCGTTTCCTTCGCGCACGTCTGCCGTTCCGAAAATGGGTCCGAGACCCATTTTCGCTCCGTTTGCCGGACAGCGACGTAGCCAATCAGCGACGGAGGAGTGACATGGCTGAGCCATGTCGTCTGCTTTCACCTTTCTGCATTGCCTGCGTCTGCCGCGGGACACTTCGAGCTGCTTGCTTCTTGTTTCGCGGTTTTCACGCTATGTCGTGCGTGTCGTTCCCAGACTGCGTTCAGCAGTCTGGGAATATAGCATTTTCGCCAGTCTGAATATAGCATTTTCGACAGTCTGGTATTCAAAAAAGCGCACAGCAATTCAAATGACGCCCCCAAAGCAGGCGTTTGGACAAGTGGCGTCAGCTATCTGGCATGAGTAACAAAAAACAAACTTCTATTGTATGCCCTACGAGATTTGGAAAGACTTGTTTGGTGCTAGAACATCGATTATTTGAGTATGATTCTGAAGAACGGTGCCGAATCGGAGTACTGTGTTGTCGATGCTAAAGGACGTGAGTCTAAAGCAAATGGGAGCATCAGTTCGGAGCTTACGAGCTAGAGAGTGCACGGCGGCCGCTTGATAGATTCGAGGCTGTCGACAACTGCATTCGGAAGGGCAGCCATATTTGTCGGAGGAGCTTGCCGTGCAATTCTAACAGCTCTCCTGTGGGTGGCGCTGGCTGCCGGTCTATGGCACTACGCCGTTACGGCAGGCTTGCCGCTATAGCGTGAACCGACCCTTACACCTAAATAGATTTAGGTGCACTGTAGAAAAAAAAACGCTTAGGTGGCCGAAATGAATCTGGAGTCTCGCACCACAGCGCGCTTCCTAATGACGCCATGGCTTCGGGACATAAAATAATATATAGTGCCACATTCCCTCCTTAGGCTTTGTAATCTCCCCGTTTTGCTTCCAGTGATCCTATGCGCAATCACGCCTGCAGTGTATGAAAAGCTTCAGGACTGCAGCAGATCACTTTTTTAAGAATATGGCCACTTCGCGAACGTTGCAGATTATTCTGGAACCTACGTAGCCGCTAACGATAACGCTAGAATATTCGATAACACGTGTATAAATGATGACGCGCCTCACCGCTTGCCAGTTGATCGACGGCCGGTGCACTGTTAACCGTTATAAGTGCCAGCGGGCGTCGCTGTCATCTGACATTCAGTTTACGGGCCACAAGTTCCGCCAAATAAACAGTTTCATCTCGTAATTACATGCGTGCTTCTTTCGTCCACACCATGACCCCGTGACAATATCCTTGCACGCGTCTGAGCCGCGGGCGATATACAGCTGCCGCTATTAAAACAAGTTAAAAAAAGAACCCAAGGCGGCAATAAAGTTTTCGATGGTGTCGCAAAATTACACGCGGTTATCAGGGGTGCATCTCGGTGCAACTAAAAAATGCCAGGCCTGCGCGGAAGGCGGAACACAGTCGCAGCAAAAGCTAGAAGAGCGGCGTTTCAGAACCTTTCAAAACAATTATTGGATAATTATTGCAAGTACACCTTCTTGATACTCACTAGGGCATATAATAACGTTTTTTGTGTAGTAGGCCGGCATTCGCCATGCTATTTTTCGTCCTTCTTCTGAGACGCGTGGTATCCGCTAAACACTTGCAAGAAATTTTGTGCCAATTGTTCTTGCAGTGGCTGACGACAATGAGGAATTATGGCTGAAGTGGGTATGCGCCGCTGTTAACAGTGGAACAAAAACAAGCTTTTTTAATGGATTGGAGCATTGGACGACTCATTTGTTACGCCTTTCTCATTGTGCGACGACTGTATGTTCTTTCGCTGTTTTAAAACGCTTTATAAGTCGTATTAACGCGATTGCTTTTCCTACATCAAGCCTGCCTAAGGCAAGTTTGCTAACAAGTCCTAAGCACCAGTGTGGTTCAGTGGTAGAATACTGGGCTGGCACTCAGCGTACCCCGGCTCGAGCCCCACTGTGTCATTGGTGCTAGGTTTTTTTTTCTAATTTCGCGCGATGTCTTTACGGACACAGGCCGCGGCGGCCAACTGCGCGTGAACCGAGTTGTGATCTCGTAACAGCTTACGCCGTAAAACATGCTCGATCCGTGGGTATTGTATAGCATGACAAAGACCAAGTGAGCTAGCTGCCAAAACAACCACAGCGACATTCGAATGAGTGAATACGCTGCGTGACCAATGGCATGCATATTATTCGAAATAGAACATGCGCTGCAAAAAACACGTATGGTCGAAGTGGGCATAAAATACTTTGTCATTATGCTTTCAAAGGAGCAGTAAAAAATTCAAGGCAGCATTGAACTTGCGATACGACTTTGTTCAGATCCGATGAAAACTTCGGAAAATGTTTGATGAAACTGAACACTGCGTATAGCAATGTTGTCAGAGACTCAACAGGCGCGTGGAAGTTAAGTCTCTTCGCACTGATCCCCTAACAAATTTAAAGCCGCGCTACAAACTTGGCTACCGAGCAATCGAAATACGAGCACTGTGTACAAACGCACGCGAATACATGGTGGAGTTTGCCGACAGCTCCGAGAAGACACGACTGAAAAAAAAAGAAAGAACGACACGACTGCCACAGCAAGAGCGCATTTTACCGGTAACATACAAAAATAATTTGGGCTGTCTCCTCACTTTTAATGTCTTAGAAAGGCGGCTGTTCATAATCGACATGCACATAGCACTCGCTCAAAGACATCGTGTGCGACGAGCTTGGTCCCGCAAAGGTTGTCAATGAATCGCTCTCGGTTCTGGTGAGATTCACACTATGAAAACTTTTTCATAATATTTTTAAACCATCGGAGCAAGTTACAGGTGATGCTGCACGAGCAGCGCGACCGTACAAGAGCGCGTGGGCGTGCTGAGAGAGCGCAGGCAGAAGGCGGGAGCGGGGCACCGAGTGACCGGCTTTTGCTAGAAAGGTGGCGAAACGCGCGCGGCGCAGCGCCCCCTGGCAGAGGTTGGGAGGCCTTTACGGTGTGGCCAGTATACGGTTGTGCAACACGAGCCGTCGGTTTTTTATTAGCAGACGCTGCCTTTTTCGGCGTTGCGAAGCGAGAAAGGGGGTGGGGAGCGGCAGTTTTGCGGGTGTCTTCCTGGGCCGGCGCAAGACGCGAGCAAGCGCAGTGGGAGTGTACGGAGGGACAGCATTACACATGCTAGTCAAAGTGCTGCTTCGGATCTAGTGAGGGTGCGTATTCCGGCGCGCATGGAAATGCAGGGCTACATCTACCGAATTCCAATGAATAGCAAGGAAGTGAAAAAAAAATCACAGCATATTCATGGACTGAATGATCAGTGGGGCGAATATTCGGAGGGTTTTATCGGTAAAACGGGAATCATCTGTCCAACCGTCTGTCCACTGCCTACGTCTGTATGTCTGTTTGTCCGTTCATCTGTCCGTCCGTTCATCCGTCCATCTAGTGAACACTCCAAGTACCACGCTCGCATACTTTCATCATATATTTAATATATACAAGTACCGCCATCTAGCGGACACTCCAAGAACTAAACGAGAGGTGGCTACCTACAACTACATACATCAAGGACGCATGACCTACGGCTTAAGGAGCTTCGCCTCTGAAAAGTGACAGCAGCTGCAGTCTTGCAAGGTGCGAGTTAATTGCGACTGTTCTGTTCTTCCACTAAGGCACGCAACTCCTCATTAGAATTCCCGGTGGGAGTCTGCATTTCCCTCAGTGTTTCGCCTCTAAGGATGTTCTCGCGTAAGCGTTTTCTTTCGAACAAGCGAACGCACGGCCTGGTGCGATTCTAAGAAATGTAGAAAGCTGCAGTGACGACGGCATTTCAGATTCTCAGAGAGAATACTTTCATACCCTATCCTTCTTTGTTGTTAAGAGGAGCACTAATGTTTTCCGCGGCGCCATCTGTTGAGCGGCTGCGGTAACCGTCTGATGTTTTGTGGGAACCGCGCAGCCATCAATCTCGATACATTCAGCTCTTCCATATCCGGCCACCTCTCTCCCTCAACTCGGGGCGCGTTCGTGAGAGAACGAACGGGTTTCGTGCCGCGAATTCATTCGCCTTTTCTCTTTTCGCTCTTTCTTCCGAAATGGCTGCCGCAGCTCGAGTCACGTTTTGCTCTGCAGTCTTCTTCAGTCAAGCCTCCATAACCAGGCCACGCAGCTTATCTCTGTAAAAAGTGTAGCGTTCCCCGCTGTGCAGTGTTCACGTTGAAAGCGGCCTTTTAGGGACCACAGATAGAAAACGCGGCTCATAAAACGAAGCAAGAGGCAAACGAACCAAAAAGAGACCGCTGAAGTGTATAAGAAATGTGTACCCACCTCCACCTTCCCTCAACGCTTCCAAGCGTGCCTCGGCTTTCAATTTGCTTGTCTGCAAGAAAGCAAAAGAAAAAAAAAAGATGCTTGAGTGCGAACAAATATGCAGTACACGAACGAGTCAATTGTATAAAAAATGTCCGACAAGGTTAAGCGTAAAAGGATAAAAAGTAAGCGCACAAGGAATGCCACTGAAAGCGCGGTGAGACAGCCGAGCCAAAAACAATGATAGTAAACTTCACAGTTCGCAAAAATGGGCGGAAGGGGGTCACAGGCGCTTATATTATTTTACTTTTGACTCGTTTAGTTCCACTTATTTGTCTCTGCTTCCGTCTTTTCCTGTATTTTTACGCTGTTTTTAGATTCAAGCATGAACTAGCCCAACTTTCACTTCTAGTTTTATTAGTCATGTTTTTTTGCGCTTGTACTCCATCTCTTACTGCACGCGGTAGTGGAAAATATGCTTACAAACAGGCTTCAAGAAGGGTACACCACGCAACATCAGCAGAATTTAAGAGGGTTTGGGGCAGCGACGCACACGAAAGAACGAGAGTTAACCCTCTAATGAAGAGTGCTATTCCGGTTTAATCTAGGCAAAGGTTATTTTGGGCTCAATACAATGTGCATTTAAGCTATAGTTGTGTTAACTCTTCAGTTATTTAGCATGGTTCGTTGGACCAATGCTACTAATGATGCCAAAAGGTTACGATTGAATTATTTCCTGACATAGTGATTGCACTGTACAAGACGACAACAAAAGAAAGTGCGATAATGCGGAAAGGCGGGCTTGTTGATTCGGCTCTATAATGGAACTTTTGCGCACGAAACACGAATACAATACACAATTAAGGGTTAACACTCCGGTAGTCTTTGTGCATAGAGTTTCCCACAATACTTACTAGAGGGAACTCTGGTGCTAGTGTCTATGGGAGCTGCAACACACGGCGCTTTAGCGAGCATGGCAATGATGGGTAGTACACACATTTGTCTAATGTTCGTACTTCTGGCCTGCTTCTGGCTCCGTGTGTGTTCGTGTGGCTTGGAGCTGTTTTTTCACGAAAACATGAATTAGCAAATGATCACTGTTTGCGCTTCACAACCTTATTCTTTTCAGCCTAATATTTCGAATCAAGTCCCGAAGTTCAAAAGGGTTCGTTCTCCCTTCCAAAACAGAACCGTAACCAGTAATAAACAAAGCCGCAAGTATGATTCGCCGCCCACAAGTACGAAGACTTGGCAAATGTGTGTACTACCCATCATTCCCATGGTCGCTGAACGATCGCAGCGCCAGAGTGCCCTCTAGTTAATTTTGGGAAACTCTATGGTTTTTGTCAACAACTCGTCAGTGTCTTTGTGATGCAGGCGCAAAAAGCACTTTCTTTCATTATAAAAAGAAAGTGCCGAAGCACAAGCATCGGCCATCAAATAACGACTTGCTATTGCAACAAGGTGGCAGTTGGGCTGGCTAGATTAGATAGATAGATAGATAGATAGATAGATAGATAGATAGATAGATAGATAGATAGATAGATAGATAGATAGACAGACAGACAGACAGACAGACAGACAGACAGACAGACAGACAGACAGACAGACAGACAGACAGACAGACAGACAGACAGACAGACAGACAGACAGACAGACAGACAGACAGACAGACAGACAGACAGACAGACAGACAGACAGACAGACAGACAGACAGATAGATAGATAGATAGATAGATAGATAGACAGATAGACAGACAGACAGACAGACAGACAGACAGACAGACAGACAGACAGACAGACAGACAGACAGACAGACAGACAGACAGACAGACAGACAGACAGACAGACAGATAGATAGATAGATAGATAGATAGATAGATAGATAGATAGATAGATAGATAGATAGATAGATAGATAGATAGATAGATAGATAGATCCACTAGTTTGTGTCCTTGCAATGCGTGCGCAAAAAAAGATCCAATATAGAAAGAAAGTGACAAAGCACAAGAAACATCGGCTTCGAAATAGCGACTTGCTGTTGCAACAAAGTGACAGTTCTGGGCTGGCTTGCCAGCCCAAAAGTAACACACAGCACGGATACTACGAGCCCCTTTCTCCTTACAATGATTAGAATCTTTATTATCCTCCTTTTAAAACGGCGTGCTTCTCCGCATTCCACACGCCTTTTGGTTTACAACCGGGTAGTGTTACGGCTTAGCATTTCAGCTAGTTCTTCTTTGTTGTTGTTCTTCGTACAAAATTTGTTTTTATGGCGTACTATTATCTACATCTGAGAAGAATTATGATAATCTCACCCCTACGCTAAGCGCCTTGCTAGCATAACGTCTCTTGCTAGCATAAGGAGGCATCTGGTAGAAAAACGACAAAACACGCCTGTCGCAGAACTTGAGCGTGGGTTTGGCCGCAGAACAGCACAGTAGAATAGGTCAGCCATCCTACAGGATTCTGACGACACATTCTTTCGTTCAAAGGAAAAACAAAGGAAAAAAAAACGCCAGGACTGCGCGATAGGTAGAGTACAGTCACAGCAAAAACTAGAAAATCGGCCTTTCAGAGCCTTTTCAAACATTCATTGGGTAACTACTGCAAGCACACTTACTTGATACCCACTAGGGCATTAATAATAAGTTTTTATGGGCAGTAGGTCAGCATTGGGTACGCTATTTTTCGTCATTTTTCTGAGAAGCGTGGTATCTGCTGAGCACTTGCAAGAAATTGTTCGCTCTATCTCAAAGCAGCTGAGAGTATATCAGCAAAATCAGATGAGAAAGGCGGTCGTTTCATCGAAGCAAGATGATTCGCAGAAATGACAAGACGAGCTTAAAAATGAAAAAGCGCAAAAAGAAATAAAAACTAACACGGCGCTGCCGTGTTCTGTGTTCCATGCTGTAGTTTGGAGAAGTGCGCCTAACTTGGCTGGTTGCTACATGATTAAGCCGGGAACAAACAGTGCTCGACACGTGACAGTGAAAGAACGACAGACGAAAACGCTGAAATATCGACTATACTGGTTTACTGAAGGGATATGCAATACGTATGCAGAAGCTTTGCGCAGAACAACAACAAAAAGACAGCAACTGCGCCGAGAGAGACAAGAAGTCATCATATCAGATGCGTCGGCTGTCATGTTTTTGACAAGAAATTGATTTCACAGTTGCGCAGGTGAATTGATGGCACACTGACGGAAGCGTTCGTCTGTAGCTCTTTCATCGTCGCATGTCCAGCGCTGTTTGTTCCCGTCTTCGTGTTTAACGTATCGATGTCACTCACTGAAACTTGTGCGGCATTTTCATGGGATGAAGGCATAGTGCGTCGGACAATGACATCAATGGCTTTCTGACGCACTAATCACCAAGTTCGTCAATACGTTCAACTTCGACAATTAAACAGAAGAGATGAAACGTCTGACAAAAGAAGATATCAACCGTCTGATTGTATAAGCCGAACGTACCGATGCACTGGGTGATTCGTGCATTAGCAAGCCATGCATTAGCAAGCCTAAGTAGTCGGCGCTTTTGCGCAAGCGCTGGTTTACAAAATTAATCCTTATCGTTAGTTTGCTTAAGATGAGTGGTTTTTTTTTCATGCATGCCCTGAGTGATCAGACATGTTCATCTGTCTGGCTGGCGATGATTGTACGTAAGCGGTCTAACATTCACAAATTAACAACTTGTTGTTGCTGTGTTGCAAGAAGCGTTTGTGGTGTTCTTTCATGCCTTGTCATGCCCATGTGTATTTGCACGCTAAAAAAATAACTGTTCAAATAATTCACCAACAAGCCCGTATTAGAACCCTCATTTGATAAGGCCATCGTTTTTCATTAAAGTACGATTTCTTTACATCTGGCTGCATAAGTCTGCAAGATGTTTTTCTTTCGTTCGCATTTCATTCTCACGCGTCTGAATATTATGCGTGCTCAAGTGCTGGCAAAATTGAGAAAAACATATGTGACACGCAGGTGAAACAATTTTTAGGTCATTGTTGAATTTTACACTCATTATTGGTGGAATTTCCATTGCGTAAACAGTGACTGAGATGTACCAACTCATTATGAACGGAAGGTAATCGATACACTTCATATTAGCTTTGCTATTCACCTCAATGGACAACAAAATAATGCAGCGTATAGTGGTATATTTCTAGCAAGTCGCTAAACATGTAGAACTATCCTACAGGCGAGATCACGGCCTAGATTGTACGCGGAAGTGATACAATTCACAAAAGCTTGATCATGTTGAACAATCATGATAATAGAGCTCTAACACTTGGCTCCGGTGAGCCACCTCACTCACCTCTGCTTTGCGGATGCTGTTTCTAATGTCCTCGAGTTTCTGCTCTACGTCTTCCTGTTCACCCGTTGATGACTCCATGGTCTGCGCAGCCAATTAAAAGCGGGCGTCAATTGATTCACCAATACATTTCAGTACAAAGACTGGTAGAGATTACGACACTTCTCATGCTTCAGAGACTTTTTGTAACGTTGAGAGATAAGTGGGCTTTTACAATCGAATGTAGCTCGATTGTGTGCTTGTCGCCTCCACTTGTGATGCGCGATACGCGAGGTAAAATGAGCCATGCATATCTCTGCCTGTGATCAGGTTTGTCCTACCAACGCGTCCTCTATTTTATCAATGCCAGCCAGATGCGCCCAATCCAGCCGTTCACCACACTGTCCTATAGGCCTTCCTTCGTCTCGCCTATGGCCTAGCCTTCATGTGTGCTTTGCGGTCATGGGGGGAGAACCCCTCATTCAGTGCCTGACGACAGAGATCATGTGAAGCGACTTTTGTTCAGTTGTGTACAGATCCGTGGGGCGGCGCCTTGCATTCCTCGTGTTCACGATATTGGTGGTCACGCTGGCTCAGTACAAGATACGCATTTTTGAGATAGTGTGTTGGCGTTCGTCGCGCTACGTGGGCAACTAATGGGGATGAGTCACTGCGGTGCTGCTGCATCAGTAGCGCTGTGATGCGGCGGTGTAGTTGCTTCTAGCTACAAAAAAAGGATCATGCATGGAGGAAGAAATCTGACATACGTATGATATTGCAGTAGGAAACACGGTCTATCGCATCTCCTGGGAAAAGCGCTGCGAAGCACGTGTGACTCAAGCAGCCGTAGCGCTCATGTAGCGTCGCATTACGACGACTCCCTGAACTAAGGCGGACCGACGGATCGCGTTAAGAAGCGCGCGTTTGTACTGGCATTGAAATAAAGGAGGCGTTGGTCCTACAATACCACATTTTCATAGTGCTGAGGACAGAGTATGCCAGTTTCTATCATCGCTGCTGCGGCTATAAAAGCCATATCAATAAGTTCATGCTCAGGTTCCGAAGAAAATAATTCCTTCGTGCGTTTGTATTGCACACAGCACCTTCTCAATGCTGTTCCGTCTTTCACGTTATAAATTATTAGGGAGCATATCTGGCAGTTCTAAAGAACTACTCTAGCAGGCGTTTCTGCCTTATTGAAGCAGTGGAAAAGAGCGATTCGTGGGGAAGACGCCGAACCCTTTCTCCCTTGGCGATTTGTCCGAGCAGCCTGTTGAGCTCCTTGTTGGCGTCGCGCAGTGTGCGGCACTCTTTCATGTAGGCCGAGGACCACTTCTTGGCCTCCTTGCTCAGGCAGATGTCCGCGTGGTGCTCCGTGCAGATGGTGCGCACCTGCGGCCAGTGGCGCAAGAAGATCGCTAAGGTCGGCGGACACACAACTTTGTCATGGTGGCCGTGTTATTTATTTTATAAATATTGCTTTTATTTTCATTTATATAAAAATTGAAATCATGCTTTGTAATAGAATAAAAAGAGCATGGCTTCCCTGCTCACGTAATTGCCCAGCTATGCTAAGAGCTTGAGGCGCGAGCGAGAAACAGAACGCGCTACGATTTCGGCCAGAGAGGACGCCGCAGCCCCGTTTCGTCTTTCGCTTCACCTTAAAAATGTGACGAAGACGACGGCACGATCACTTCGGCCACCGCCACGTCTCTCTCACTCACTTCGACCTATTGCGTTGTTTGTGTTGCTCCCCCCCCCTCCCCCAACCCAAATATTGACTTGCACGTCTGTCGCTACAGCATTCACAATGCTTCGTTTTTACCATTTAGTTGTTCTCTTACTCTAGGCCTTACATTATTTCTTCATGATGAAACAAGCGCTAAAAATTACACACACTCAGAGTGGACACAGATGAGCGCATTTTTAGCGCTTGTTTCATCACAAACTTTTACCAAAACGCCCAACTGGCAGTCATCCTAAATTATTTCTTCCACACATGCAGATTGTTGATTAATTAAAGAAAAAAACTTCCAAATGACCCCCTGCGAAGGGTGGGATGCAATTCATCACTTACGGGGGTGCTTTCCTTTGGGGTTATCGCACTGAGTTCTAGCCACAGGAGCATTTTCGATGGCGGCTTCATTTTGCTACGTGTAACGAAACGAATTCAATGCTAAGTATAGCTAAATAAAGCTTCTTCTTCAACGATAACATTTTTTACGTGAATTAAGATAATAAGTTACTTCGAAAACGATCTGTTGCTGCACAGTTAGGATTAAAAACAAATTTCTTCATATAGCAATTCACCACCAATTTTATGGTCGATCCCCCGTGGTGGGTTGCGCCAGTTTTATAAGAGTCAACCTACCCATCAAAGTATCAGCTTGATCCAATACCGCGTTCTAATAGCACTCCTGGGCGGCTAGTTGTGTTTACGGTAATAAGCTTAGTGACTCCGTTTTCCTCCTCATTGATAGTCCTATGAACCCAGCAAAGCACCGATGGACCTCGCATTGCATTCCACAAAACTGCGAAGCATACACGGTGATTTAATAATTATGGAGGTAAATTAACGCCTTCCATCAGCCTTGAGCTGAATTAGAAAGCTTTGCGTAACTTTCTTTTCTCCCCAGCCATATGGCCAGTCGCCGGGCACGGAATGTACATTTTACTGCCAAGTAATTCAAATACATGACGTTGGAAAGTTAAATACTAAGAAGGGACGCCTGCAAGAGGTGTCCCCCAAATGAACCCAAGGGAAGTAAGTCCCCCTGACGCAGAAACACGGCTAATTTTTCTTTCGCTGGTTGCCAATGTTTCACGGTTTCTCTTCAAATTTGTGTTAATTTCAGTGTCAACTATTGTTGTACGTATATTCAACGTTTGAGTTTGCATAGCTAGGCAATAGCCTGCAATCAGTCTATCAATATACGATGTGACGTACACACTGTGACGTATATACTGTGACGTGCACGTACTTCATGTTTTATCATGAAGCCTGAGTCGACTTACATAAGGGCCATAACTTTAGAGCGGGATTAAAGACAAGCAAAAAAGGTGAGCAGAACTCATTGTCCCAACAATGAGCACAAAATATTTCTACATCAATCTTTATTCTTGTCATTACCCTAATGAATGGTGAATCTGAACGATTTAAGTATGGCAGTTCAATCAAACGCGTGTAGTAATGTCGCGGCGTCCTGCGCTTTTCACTGTTGAGGGCTTCTCACTTCACTAAGTTGCAATATTAGATGTCGTAAATCAGTGGCACCCCTACCAAAAGCTGCAATTCATTTCAGTGAATACCCACATTTCTGATTGTTTGTCGCCGTTTTCGCTGAGGCTCTTTCCATGCACCTTTGAATTTAAATTCCTTGACATAAAATACACGTCCACATATGCATAGAAAACATCAATACTTCTTATCGCGTGGATCCCATAGCCGCGTTTTATAAATAACGCCATTGTGCATGCAAAATTTATAAACCACCTACCAGCAAATAATTTTTCACGATATGCGACTTTCATTGCACATGCCCAGACTTTAAAGCTCGTGTAAGAAATGGCCGCTGCCGGGAAACAAAGGACCAACAATGAGTTGCGCACCTGGTCGTTGTCACATGGATCAAACTCGTATTTAATAGGCTTTCCTAGAACTTGGTTTTCCTGCAGGAAGCATTCCACGGTGTACTGCCGTGTAATCTGCAACAAAGGTAAACAAATTTTCGGCACTTCTATAGAGGCACAGACAGACGGACAGACACACACAGACACACACACGTATATATATATATATATATATATATATATATATATATATATGGCAATTACGTCTCCGATTCTGTATTTACGTTAAACTTTTTGCAAAGGTGGGCCTACGGCGTGCGCAGGGGTTCTCCTTCAGGGAGAGGGAGGGGGTGAAGGTTCGTCGTAGCACCGCCCCCTCTTCACTAAGTCAATGTATACAGTTGACTTTTGCGCCCCTTTTCCTCCTCTTTCATTTATTTTTGTTTATTTGGAAGATTACCCGCCGCGCCATCTTGGGAATAATTGCGAATGGCACAGTGCCTCATAGAATGAATCCTCAGTCTTGCGGCCAACTAAATCAGCTGGTAACATATTCCATTCGACAACGGTTTGCGAAAAAAAAGAATTCTTAAAATGATCCGTTCTGGGGTTGTACGGCCGTACTTTAAATTTATAGTCATGACGAGAGGAATGATAATGCGTTGGTTTTAAATATTCTGAAGGATTAAGGCCTGTTTTCTTGTTATAAACTTAGATTACGTCTTAGATCTTGTATGTATTGCCAATTAAGTTCTTTTTTCATACATTAAGAGCTTTCAGTTCGGTCATATTTTCCCAGAACGAATCTTGCTGCTATCGACTGAATGCGCTCTAGTGCATGAATGTGTACTTTGTGAAACAGATCCCACACAGGAAAGGCGTGTTCCAGTATTGGTCTGAGATTGGCGTAATATGCGGCCTGTTTAATCTCCTTGGTTACATGTTTAAGATTTTTTTGTAAAAAGCCTAGGGCTTTTCAAGCTCTGCTGAGAACACTGGCAATCTGTTCAGACCATTCCCCATCCTCAGAATATGTGACACCCAAGTACTTGTATCTGTGTTCTTTCCTAATAACTTCATCTTCTAAGATGTACTGATTTGTAAGCCTATTGACTCTTTTGGTGAAACTGACGTGAACGCATTTATCAAAATTTAGTACCATATCATTATTTTTACGCCATACCTCCACGTGATTAAGGTCATCCTGAAGCTGGGTGGAATTCGTTTGGTCGGTCAGTTCAGTGTACAACACACAGTCGTCAGCAAACAATATATTACTACACTTAATTGTGTCCTAAATGTCATAATTAAACACAAAGAAAAGTGGGCCAAGTACGGAACGCTGAGGTACCTCCGATTTCTCCGAAACTAAACATTGACATGATCCACCTAGAACAACCTTCTGTTTTCTTGAAGTCAAATAGGCCGCAATTCGTCAGCAAATGGTATAATGAATGTTCAAGTTGTGCACTTTTTGAACCAGAATCGAATGTGATACCGTGTCGAAGGCCTTTCTGAAGTCCAAAAATAAACAATCAATCCGTCTTCGATTATATAAAACAGATGCTATATCATGATAGAATTCAATTATTTGGGTTGTATATGAAAAAAAAAAACTGTCTCAATCCGTGTTGTTTAGGATTAAAAAAATTATTTGAAGTCAGGTGCATTAAAGTAAGAAAAAAGAAGATGTTCAAATACTTTACAACAAATCGGCGTCAGAGAAATAAGTCTGTAATTTGATACATCTGATTTTGAACCGCTTTTGAAAATGGTCACAACTTTAACTACTTTCCACTCTTCAGAAAGCTTGCCTTCATCGAGTGATTTTTTGTAGATAACATAGAGATAACAAGCTACTGCCTCAGAGCAGTGTTTTTAAACTCTTGGTGATATGTCATCTGGGCAAGTTGCTTTACTTTCGTCAATGCGCTGTAACAACTTCACTATGCCATTGAATAAAAGCTCTATCTCACCCATAGGCAAACATTGTTCTTTTTTATTCGCGACAATTGCTTGTGTAGGAGGGTGGAAAACCGACTTTAAAAAGTTGTTGAAAAGTGTGGCTTTATCTCTATCCTCAGTTACGATCTCACCATCGTAACGCAGATTTGGTCGGCTAACCTTCTCACTACCACATCGTCTCATATACTTCCAGAACCTCTTCTAATTAAGAACGTTAGCGGCCAAACTCTTAAAACACTTTTTATTGGCTCTTTTCATTTTAATTTTATCAAGTGATGTCGGATCTTTCATTTTAATAAAATTCTCAGGGGTTTCATTTTGGAAATATTGGAAAAAGGCCCTCTTGCGCTCTTTGATAAGCCTAATGAGATGTCCAGTAATCCAAGCTTTCTTTATTTTGCTTAGTTTATTGCTCGAGACACTCGGGACGTGGCACCGAATGGGTCCGGTAATGCGTCCTTTAACCACTTGCCATAGCTGCTCAACAGTTGCTTCGTCTGCACTGCATTCAAAAGACAGAAGTTGATGCTCAAGTCCCGCTGATATTTGCTCATAGAGTGGCCAGACAGAGTGGCTACCCCCTGTGCCCCCCCCCCATACGCCCGCTTATGGTTGCGCCAAGCCTGTTAGAACCACTGAAATTCCTTACGTGATTGGCGTCTTCGAGGATCCTGGAAAATGACGAGTTGCAAGCGGTGACAGTGAGCAGCTCCGTCCGACTCATGAGTTGGATGTAGTCTTTCACTTTTTCCGAGACATCGCAATCTAGCGACTGGAACGTAAAGCAAGAGCAGAAACGTTAGCGCGACAGTATTGCATTCGCGATTGCATTCAACGCCAGACACCAGTAGTTAGCGGCTGCCTTAGATACATAAGGCCAAGCACTACAAATAGAAGAGACGAACCATCGCAAGCCCTTTCAAGGGACAAACACAGAAAGACAGAAGGGCTGACGCTGTCCCCGCAGCTGGAAAGATTTATTTCAAGCCAAGTTGGCGCTTCGCGTCTTGTAAAGGACAAACAAGAAAGTGTGGAAGAAAAATATTTATCTGAAGAACACACGATTTTCAAAGCACAAAAAATTGACAGATGCCACGTACAGTGAGAACCAATGATATGCAAAGCACGAATGAGGAAGTTTGACATGACAATTTTAAATCGGCACTGTACGTTACGATGTGGACGTAAATTATGCCGTACATAACTTCTATGTGATGATTATCATCTTCAGACATATCATTTACCTTTGTCGCCTATCAACGTCCCATGATACCAAATATGGTATATGTTGAACTAGCGGAACTGCCGCGAGCGCGCTATGAGCGCAGCATGTAGTCTTGTTTTACATGACACGTCTATCATGATTATTATGTTTGGACGTGTCATTAACCTTCGTCGTCCGTTCGAGTCACGTAATACCAAATTTGGTATATGTGAAGCTAGTGAAACCACCACGTGCGCATCATGAGCGTGGCATGTAGCCATGTACTTGCACTCTGGATGAACTAGATGATCGGCCTTTGTCAGAACAAACGATTGTGGGTCATCAGCCGAGTCCATTCTCAGTCCAGAAGGCTTTGAAAGCTTTGTTACGCTTTTGGCGGACAAGTGGCCTTAAAAACAAACTTTAGTGTTGTATTCTCTTTGATTTTGCTTTTCATCTTTCGCTATTTTTCTTCTTCTCTCTCTCTGTCTGTCCTCAACAATTTTTTTCTATCATCCATTATTCCCCTGGCCCCTTTTCCCAGCACAAGGTAGCGAGCCAGTCTAAGAACTGATAGATAGATAGATAGATAGATAGATAGATAGATAGATAGATAGATAGATAGATAGATAGACAGACAGACAGACAGACAGACAGACAGACAGACAGACAGACAGACAGGCAGGCAGGCAGGCAGGCAGGCAGGCAGGCAGGCAGGCAGGCAGGCAGGCAGGCAGACAGACAGACAGACAGACAGGCAGGCAGGCAGACAGACAGACAGACAGACAGACAGACAGACAGACAGACAGGCAGATAGATAGACAGACAGGCAGATAGATAGATAGATAGATAGATAGATAGATAGATAGATAGATAGATAGATAGATAGATAGATAGATAGATAGATAGATAGATAGATAGATAGATAGATAGATAGATAGATAGATACGCTCAAGGTCGCCAAAATTCGCTAAGAAATGCTTCGCATTTAAAAAAAAAAGCGTCATCACAGCGCTGAACTGTTAAAAATTAACGACAAAAGTTACGTATAGACTATCATCTGACATGCTGAGAAGACAGGCTAACTCTTCGTTAGTAAGAGACAATGATTCCTCACGTCACCCATTCGGTTTATGTGGAGTGTCTCTATCAGTTGCCTACTTGTCTGGAAAGTATGTTCTGACATTATCTCAATATCGGCAAAGAGAGAATGCGCGTCCGTGTGCCTTCTGCTCTTTCCCTCTTCGACGTTCTCGCGCTGTACGCAAAAACGTTACCACACCAACTTTTACGTACTATATAGGGCGAAATCAATTATCCTCTCGTGTTCTCGTCCATCCACACGTGCCCTGGCTTGGTGCCAGGTGTGGCGCAGCGGCGCATAGCACGAACGCCGGTGGCTCCTCGCGTCAGACTACGGAATGAACGCGCCTCCCCTGGAGCTTGGCCACGATTCGCCCACTCATACAAGAAGGAAGACGCACGCATCCCGTTTTATTCTGTCCGACCACATCTAAATGGGCGAAGGTTTTCGCCGAACAAACTTTGGAATTTACAGTGTCTTCCACTTTTTTTTTTCATTCAAGACCTCCGAGTGTTCAATATTGAATGTCACTTTGTGGGATGTAAACAACTTTTCACGCGACGCGTCTGTTAATTATTGCACATTTCTTTCACTTACTGACTTCAAGTATGCACCCCCCCCCCCCCAAAAAAAAAAAATCAAAACAGTAGAGCGAGGTATGGAAAGTGCCATTGCGCAGGAAAGCCCCGGGGATAAAACTAAGCGTGATATCGCACGTACTGCTTCAAGCAATGTTCTTTTTTTTAGGTGGAACCACAGATTATAGCGATGAATGCGTAATGAGGCACGAACACTGGCTTTTATCTCAAGTTCGCGAAGAAAGACGTGCAAGAATACACGTGCACGTAGTAACGTAAATGAGAAAGAGGAAAAAATCAATTTTTAAGGCAACGCGACAAAACTGATACGGCGTTCTTTTTAAGCTCTAAGCTAAAATTGCATAGTCCTGACGCGTCGCAAACTTGGCTGAATTAACGTTGAACATTAAAGAAGTAAGACTAAGGCCTTCAGCAACGGCGGAACTAGTTTTCATGCTAGTTCCGACAAATTGTGGCCAAAAGAGAGCAACACAGCTTTCTCACTACACAAACCACGTAGTGAATATATACTGACTCCGTGTGCTGCATATGACTGCAGGCGATCACTTTAGCAGAAACATTACAATGCTCGACAGGTTTTAGAGGCGAAGATCCTTATGGCGTGAGTCGGTCATCACCGGTATGTATGCATGTATGTAGTAACCACCTCACAGCATATTCACGGAGTGAATGATGATGAGTGGGGCGAAGCTTTGGAGGGTTTTATCGGCAAACCATGAATCATCCGATGGCCGCGTCTGTCTGTCGTCTGTCTGTCTGTTTGAAGCACGGACGGACGGACAGATGGACAGACAGATGGACGAATGGACGCACGGACGAACAGAAGCAAGAACGAACGGACCGACGAAAGCGCGGACGGACTGACGGACGCTTCGCCCCACTCTTCATCAATGACTCAGTCGATATGCTGTGAATTTTTTTCAACGTGCCACGTACCAGAACCAACGTCACCAGTATGGCTTTTCTTTTCTGTATAAATGAATACAACTAAAGACTAAATGTCCACACATTTGAAGCCTGTGATTCAATATTTTGTATGTCAAAACAAAACAAGGCTGACTGCAAAATAGTGAAATATTTATCTACATGATATCTAAACTAGCACAATACGACACATTACTTGAATGTCTTTCTTGGAATGTAATACTGGGTGCTTTAAAAAAACAAGGAGTGTGAATTCATAGACATTGGATCGGAATTGGCAAAACGTGCACCTGCAGAATGTCGGGCAGGTCCGTCTCGTAGAACCTGGACTGGTGAGCGTTGGCCGCCACCAGAGCGAGTATGTAGTCGTTGCGGGCTTTTGTCGACTGGATGTCGCACGCTTCTCTTCGGGACGAGAACTGCGTGGAATGGAAGTGGGTGTTTACGTCTTTTTAAAGACGACAGTCTTTCTTGGGGTACTTCAACGCAAAAGTTTTGGTCTGTTTGCCTGTACCCGAAACAACTTGTCTTTTTGCCTTTTATTCTGTTTGCATTTGATTCCGAAATCCATCCACAACCACAGCGCCCACCAATATTGCTCTGGCTTCTGCGTACATACTTGTGCGTAGTATCGATTAAAAAGCAAATGTTGCACATATCTAAGGCAGAACATCAACACGCCAATATACTTTGGCGTCTTTCGTTATACTATAAATGTCATACATAAGTAATTGTAAGGAGCGTAGCGTTTATTACTCTAAGGTGACAATGCAACGCTAAGTACGAAAAGGCGGGTGTTTCCTACACTTTGCCAAAACGATACGGTGGTGACACGAATTCGCTGCGCTCATCTAGGCATTTTAACGGAGCGCCTCTAGATTCCCATTCACCAACCTTCTCGTGCAGAACACCTAATAAATGTTTTATTCGCTCTCTCCAGACGAAACTTTCGCCGACATTTGCCACACCAAACAACACTGTTACAAGGTAAAAGAAAAGGTACAAAAGGGAATTATTAACGTCTCTCATAATGTCTTTGGTCATCATCGAATTGATTCAGCCCAACGGTCAAGTCAACACGTTTGGTCCTTATGGGGATGAATCCAGACATATGAACGTAACAGCCGACAAATCAAAACACAGATATGATACGTGTATCCATCTTCATTTGCTCTGAACTGACTTTGTTATAGCGCAATAACAATAACCCAATTACTGAGCGTGACTAGCGACTGCGACACTGTGTATTACTATCGGAGTGTAAATGCGCATTGCGAAAACAGTCTTTTTGTGTGTGTATGCAGTTCACCGTAGCCATTCATTACTCTTTTGCGTCCCCTATTCCCTCCTCCGGTGTAGAGTAGCAGGCCAGAGCATGCTATCGCTCAGGCCAATCTCTCTGCCTTTTTCATTAACCTCTCTCACTCTCTTTTTGTTCCTGCAGCGTAATGTGATAGAACACAGTGGGGTACATTTTAAATAGCACATTGTTTAACGTGGAGAAGGACACGACACTCGCTACACTCTAAACTAAAATTATCTCCGAAAAATACTTCTTATATATGCAGCCACGTTGATCCTGAGCGACAAAGAAATGAAATGACAGGCAATCAAAACTTAATCAAACTTTGGGCGCTTAACGATAAAATAATGGCGACATGTGTAGAAGTGAGCTTCACAGTTCATGCTTTCTCCTCCACGAAACACAATATGCGCAAACTCGAGCGATAAAGTCAAACCATGTGCAGCCTATGCACTTAAAAAAAGTAAATGTAAACCTAAAACAAACTAAACAACGTGCATTTCATGGTGATTTGGAAGACGTTCAAGTAGAACTCACTCGAACAGAAGTCGGCAACAAGAACCAGCGTTACTTATGTAATACTACGCACTTTACATTAAAGCCCTTCAAGGAAGGTGGCTTCCCGATGACTTCCCCTTGACTTCCCGTTACCCCCAAAAGCCTTGGCGTAACGTGACCCGAGCCTAAACGTCCCGTATGATACCACACTACTACCGCGGCGTTGCGTAAGCATCGTCCTTTTTCCAGCGTCAGTAACTATGTCCCTGTATTAACCCACGCCGTGCCTCGTCGTGGTGCTGTCTTGTTAGCATCAGTGCTACCAGAACCTGTGCCCATTGCGACGTGCCACTGCACCAGTGGCCTCCAATACAAAGACAAGAAGGGGTAGATGGGAGCTTGAAATGAGAAATTTGTGAACAGACTGTGGAGCACCCACCTTTGTTTACGAATTTCTCATCTACCAGAGACACCATACGTGACATCTCTGCATAAGCCTTGCGACCGCGAGCTGCAAGTCTCCCGGACACGGCGTGCACCCGCACTATTCTGCCTAGAGAAGAAGAGCTCTGCCTGAACAAAGTAAACTTTCTCTACAGTCACGAATAGCGTAAATCGCACGCTTTAAGAACGCTTTACGTCTTCCGTGTACCGCTGTACGTTTACTTATAAAAAAAAAGTATCAAAATGCATGCATGAAGCATGTGATCATTGTGCATTATATTGCGTGAACAGATAATGTCGTTCTTTTTATGTTTCGCTTTACAGTAACCAGCGCATGCTTTTTGCTATTTTATATGTAAGGTGTTTGTTCTTTCTGTTGTTGCAGTGTCCCACTTCATTACGCACTGGAGATAAAAACTGAAGTGCCAGAAACCGATAACCATTTAATTCCTGAATTGAGCTACTGTTGCCGCTACGAACTGAAAGCGACCGCGTGCATCTCAGTTTCTGCAGGTGGTGAAACCCGTCATGAGCATTTTAACTCGTTTACTCTCGCTTTCCTTAGTGACCAGTGGTTATTCCGCCTGCGCGCTACATGCCCGGCCCATGTCCATTTCTTCTTCTTAATTTCAACTACCATATCCTTGTTCCCTGATCCACTTTGCACTCTTCTTGTATTTTAAGGTTACGCCTATCATTTTCCCCGCTGCATCGTCCTCAACTTAAGCTGAACCATCTTTGTAAGCCTCCAGGTTTCTGCTCCGTAGATAAGTACTGGCAAGAGGCAGCTGTTATATACCTTCCCCTTGAGGAATAGTGGCAATCTACCAGTCATGATTTGAGAGTGCTTGCCAAATGTGATCCACTCCATTCTTATTGTTCTGGTTACTTTAATATCGTGGTTCGGCTCCGGGGTTACTACCTGTCCTAAGTAATCCACTTGTCTTCTCTGGATGCCCAGAGAAAACAAGTGGCTTAGGAGGAACGAGAAAGTTAGGTGGGCAGATGAGATTAGGATGTTTGCGGGTATAAAGTGGCAGCAGCAAGCACAGGACAGGGTTAACTGGCGGAACATGGGAGAGACGTCTGTCCTGCAGTGGACGTAGTCAGGCTGATGATGATGATGGCTCTCACTTTGCGACTGCAGTTCATCTGATCACTTACACTATAGGGTCATCTAAGTTTGAAGATTTCTTTGAAGCCATTATTTCATTTGCGAAAATTGGCGCCTGAGTTTCGCAGCACACAAAAATAAATAAATCGTGGTTTACCACCAACACGATAATGAAGCATTGTTCTATTTTTTTTTAAAGATACGGTAAATTATTCGTGTGTCTGTATCATCTTCTACACGTTTGATAAAGCTTTGCAGTCAAAGAATATCACTTTTTATTCTTGCCATTCTCAAGAACAGCATTTCATATCAATTCGTATTATTATACATATTTCGCGTATTTTGTTCCGCTATGTCAAAATGATGTGAACATAAAATTAAATAAAAATTAAAAAAGCAAGGCGTTAATTGGAGCGGAACCTGAAAACGTAGCGAGCATATCGAGTTGCGCTCAAGGACAATTCATTCCGATATAACTTGGCAAGCGGAAGACATTAAGATGAAAATTGCCACTTCCTGTTCAGCTTCATTTTATCTCAGCTACGACGCAGACTAGACATAATTTTCTGTATCATTCTATAAGGTATTGTTATCCTAATATGATAGAATATCAGCGCAATTAAAATTAAAAAAAAATATTTTTTGTTTTATTTAACAGTCACACGGTACGTGTTATGGTGGCTCGTACATTTCGCAATGGCCGGGAACCAGAATCTATGAAAACACTAAAACTGATAGACAGTACACATGGCCTGTAGCATGACGCACAAATAAATGTATCATTGCGAAAGCAGTGAAATTATACAACGCTCCATAATTAATACCACGAAGGGCCACAATCAACTCACTGATGGCTGTCTTTCGTTACGAGTTGAATCAAATACGTACTTTTTGGCTGCTCTTTTGCAGAGAAGTGATTGACTGGAATATTCGGCCTTTCTTCTTTTTCAGCCTGAAAAAGAAGAAAAGGAAATATGCAGTGTTTTATTGTCATCAAAATTGACACTATGTGAAAAGTATTAACAAATGTAGTGCATAAAAAGGATAACACAAAGAGGTAAGACACGGTCACGTCAGTGACTTGTGCTTTTGTGTACTATATATATATATATATATATATATATATATATATATATATATATATATATATATATATATATATATATGTGTGTGTGTGTGTGTGTGTGTGTGTGTGTGTGTGTGTGTGTGTGTGTGTGTGTGTGTGTGTGTGTGTGTGTGTGTGTGTGTGTGTGTGCAGATATTAATAAGTCACAAAGCACGGCATTAAAAAATGAGGGGACACGAGGTGACGTCGTTAAGCGACGCACACTTAGCGTAAGTTGTTCCGTGTAACTGTAGTAGCCAGTGCCACTACATTTTTATTAATGAGGTTCCGTTAATTAATCCTAATTACGTTCTCAACTGAACCGTTCAGCTAATAATTAAAATCTCAATGAGGCACATGAGCCTGTAGGCTTGCCTAATCGACATCAAACTGTGCTATTTTTAACAGTACTCTAATTACGCCCGCACTTTTTTGGCTAATTAAAAAAGCTCACGAAATATGCAAAAAGAAATACCTGACCAGAGAGCAACGCACATCGGGAAGCAGCGACTTCAAACGGGATCACTGTGAGGGAGCAATATTATTATTATTAATGACGCTAGTCTTCCTTGGGGACCTTCGACGCAAAAATTTTGGTCTGTCTGTCTGACTGTACAATTGTCTGTTTGTCCACTCTTAACAGCATCGGGTACTTGAAAATGTCGACCCTATCCGAAGCGCCCACCAATGCTGCTCAAAGTTGAGCGTTCATGCTTGTGAAATTGTCAATTAAAAGCAATTATTGCGCATGTCTTGGGCACCATAACAACACGTATATATTCTGTATTTGCGTTTTTTACCAGAAAAGGCATACATAAGTAATTTTAAGGACCGCAGCGCTTATCACGCAGCGCTCACCATGGAACGCTTGCACGGAAAGGCGAGTGTTTCCAACGCTTTGCTACAACGAGACGGCGGTGGCACATAACCATCGCCTTGCGTTCTACACCTTATCACCTCTGAGATGGGCGCTTACCCATCTCAGAGCCACGCGCTTTGTTTTCTAAGAAAACTGCCAGATGGCGCTCATGTCTCACGTGTGGCGTGACTTGGTGCGTTTGCTCGCCTCCCCTGCACGCTCGAGGCACTCTAACGCAGCCCCTTCAGAATACCATTTACCGATTTTCTTGCGCAGAACATCAAATAAATTTCTTGTTCACTCTCTCTACACGCAAGGCTGTCGTCTTTAAACGACATTTGCTGATGAACATGCAGATACGGGGCAATTTTTTGTTGGTGTTTTACGTACCCAAACTACCATATGATTATGAGAGACGCCGTAGTGGAGAACTCTGAAAATTTTGACTACCTGGGGTTTTTTGACGTGCTCCTAAATCTCAGCACATGGGCCTCAAGCATTTTCGCCTCTATCAAAAAAGTGGCCGCCGTGGCAAGTAATGGATGCCGCGACCTGCGGGTCAGCAGCCGAGTACGTCAGTCACTAGACCACCGTGGCGGGTTGTGAGGTGGCAAGTCAACACTACGCTCCCACCTCTTGCGGGTGGAAGCGTAGTCACGTGTTGTTGTTTGTACATTCCATGCTTTCGTTAGCAGCTAGAAATATTGGGCAGGTAAGTATTACATGGCTGAAAATAGCACAACGATATATGATTTGAGCACGCGCACGTGTACCTCATTGACATTTTATTGATACAGTGAGCACCTTCAGATTTGGCAACACAATTAGTACTAAATAACCATACCTAATTAACAAAAAATCAGTAGTTCCTACCACAGTATACGGGAAGAATATTCGTGAGGTGTGCGTCATGTAACGACGTTCTTTTTTTAATCGTGCTGCGTGACATTGGGATTACCTGCACACATAGAGAAATAATAAAATAAAATTATCAGATAAAGTTAGCGAGGGGACAGAACAATGATGCTCTCTTTTGTCCACTCCTGTCCGAGGTGCTTTTATTTGCAATCAAAACCACGCTGTACCAACACGCCCTATTCTACAGTCTTCTAAATACAAAATGAGAGAAATATGTGTTAAAGCGGACCGCCAACATTCCCAAGGTCACGTTCTTTCGATATATAAAAGAGAACTGCCTATAGACCCTTTCACTGTTTACAAACACGGGCCCTTGAAGACATCCGGCTTCGGGCCCCGATGTGTGTAAATAGCATAAGTAAGCTAAAATAGCTTTAATTAATAGCCTGCTCATTTTGTACACTTTCCTTTTCTTATATGAGAAAATATTGTCAAATAAATGTTGTTAAGACCTGCATAGAAGCTATAAGAGATGCTCTTGTACTTTGCGCACGTTTTTTTTTTTTTATCTCGAAAGTTTAAAGGAGACTTTGCTTACCCTGGAAAAAAAAGCTTGAAAACGTGCTTTTAGTCTTGACTTTAGGAGTTAGTAAATGAGGTGACTGGAAGTTTTTCGGGGTACAACGCGTGCAATGTTGAAACACTCTATAATGAGTGGCGTAAGGACATGGAAGTAGCACAAACCGGGCGCTGCACGGGCTATAAGCTTCCAATAAGTATGTCGAATGGCGAAGTATTTTATCAGGCTGCCGCAGCCTGACGGCCATCCCATCAAACTCACTTCTCTGCAGTAATTAAAAGCGGTAAACATGTTTGCTTCGAGGAAACTATGCACGAATTATTCGGTAACGTCAATAAATGCCAAGTACTGTTTTGGTAACTGCACCCCTGTATTTGCTCAGTAAAGGCTTACAATTACACTTTCACGAAGGCCTGCTATTTTTCACCGCTATATTGACATGAAGTTGTCGAATTATAGCAAAATTATGAGTCATGAGAGTGTGCTAGCAGTCACTGAAAGCAGACAGAGCATTCAACCAGAGCTCTCTTCCACATATCGCCATGTCAAGAGACCCTGCTCAGCAATGAAATCTGCAGTGTGCCATAATAGTGGTACTGGAGTATGCAAACAAATGCTTGTTTTAAAGTGCGTCCTAATTACCACCACCCATGCACAGTGGAACATGCATCGGCATGAAGATTTCCTTGAAGCAAGTCTATTTTGGGGCAAAACATGATATGACATGGATTTGTCACACTACAAAGAGTCAAAAACTACCCGATCCCTCATACTCACTAACTGAATTTCCTCCGTTACCCTAAGTAACCTTCTTACTAAATGGCTCTACGAATGCTCACTTTTCCTCCGCATCGTGCGCCTTGTCCCGTGCCTCGTGCGCCATGTGCTCTTCCTCGAAGTACAGCTTCTTGGTCTTGTCCACCTCCTGCACGCACTGTTGCACTTCGTCCTGGATTCGGCGCAGGTTGTCGAAGCACTGTGCACACAACGTAACCACTCGCTCTGATACCAGAGACAAACAAGCAAGCAAGCAAACAAACAAACGAAATACAATACGTTTCACGGATGATTTGCAGGCAAGTGAATGTTTTATGCAGCCAGAAAGGCACCGCAAAAAGGAATAGCAAGAGGAAGTTGCAGTCATCGCTGCACCTTGTCTGCTTTTGCACTGCCTCCGTGACCGGCCCACCTTTGACCAAACGACGATGTCATGTGATGACATCTTGTCTCGTCCTGTTATGTGTCGTCTTATGTCCGTCAAAATGAGATCATTGTGGCATCACAAATGTTGGTTATCTATGTCGCCGTAATGGTAAACGCATAAGGGCATGATAATTTATTTCATTACTCGGGTTGACTATGAGGCCACTGATGGTGCACTTTCGTGTTTGTTGACGCCTTTAGACCTCTCACCTTAATAGGATGAAATGAAAAACAATGATGTACTCTTGATTCAATATGTAAATAATTTATTTACACTGCTATACAAATCGTTCTCGACGTAGAAGATTCCCCATTCTCTCAAATGTCGAGTTAAAGGTAGTTGTCAAATAGCAAGTAGACTAAGTATCAATACCAAGAAGACTGAATGAGTGGTCTTACAGTCTACGGTAAAAGCTGCAAGCATTAGTTTAATAAGCATAACAATTATGATATGAGAGTTATGTACGGCATAATTTACCTCCGCCTCGTAACGTTGTTCTTATTTGAAACTGACATATAAACCTTCCTTATTCGTGCTTCGCATATCATCGATTCCCACTATACGTGGGATCTGGCAATTTTTTTTCTTGTAAAAACTGCTTCACTGCGCGATTATTCTTGTGATTGATTATCTGGGGAACTATTTTTTCTAATAATTATTCAGTCATTATTAGATATTGAACAACTTTTACATCTGCTAGTGCGAAACGCTACAAATATTTATCCATGCTGTGGTCTGATCGAGTTGTCTTTGCTCTAGAAGCACCGGCACCTATTCATATAAATATATTTAAACATCTTTAAAGCAAGTAAAGATTGAAAGAATAAGTACCTTCTTGGCCACGTGTAGTTTGTTGGCCCGGACGTTTTTGGCATTTTCCGATATTTGCTGTGAAAAAACCTCTGCAGCGGCCAGCCGTGCCTTGGCGATCTTTTCGGTCTCGTCCAGAAGCATACGCCACACGCCGTACACGGTCCTGGTACACGAACAACAACAAAAGTTTTTTTTTTTGTTTCTTGTCCAGTATTGCATTGCGATATATAGAAAGACACTGTCTACACGTTATGGTACAACGTTCTTAATTAATTTATTTGTGGATAAAAATATGAGAGGGTAGGCTACGTTCGAACAGGCTATCCCATCAACATGGTAGTAAATTCAAGACACAAAACAATAAAACTAGGAAGAAAAAAAGAATAAAAAATTCATGCACCTTTTCCTTAAACCCGAAAGCGCGAGCATTGACGATCGAGTCTTCATGCACTTGTTCCAGGTGTCCTGTTCCCGGAACAGCCTAGCAGAAGTCAGCTCTACAGGAGCGTTCATCGCCGACACACACGCATTCTCTTTTATTTTGGCGCTGTGCTTCGTTAAACAGAGCTCATTGACTGGGTGCTCGACGCTCGCACGTTCTCGTGTTAAAAAGTGAGTGGCTGTAAATCTATAAATTATGGGGCGTCAAGCATGAGCACTATAAGGGTACAGTCCAGTTCATACAGCGGGGCCATATCGCGGATAGAGTATGTGTACAAATATAATTTTATGCACTTACATGAATCTCGACCGTGATATATAGTGATTAATGACTCAACAATATGAAACAGACCAATAAGAGCAATTATGGACAGTTGAACAAGCTTGTGTTCATTAAAATATCCTGAAGAATGCTTGATTATTTGATTATCTGGATTATCTGGGAGTGGCGAAAGTCCAAGCACTCTTCCAATTCAAACTGATGTACCGGCAGTAACACGGATTTGTATGTTCGCAATTTAAAAGCAGAACATCGACCGGTAAGATAAATACTGCAGTAGGTTACGACTCCAGAATAAATGTGTAAGCTCCACCCGCAGCAGTCCCTGTTCCACTCAAAAAGAATGCACATCGATGCCTCATCCGATTGCACTTGCTCATTTTCCGTGGCGTCAAGAATCTGCCGCTTATTTTAGGTGGTTGATTTTCACTGCACACGCCCGTTGGTGTCGCTGACTTTCAATAAATAAAAAGAAAGGTAAGCCTCCTGGCAAACTTCAGCAAGGGTTCCAACATCACTGCCCAAAAAAACGCAGTGTTGGAAGTAGGAGGGACAAACTTCACTTATGAATAGGCGTAATATTCACAGTGGCAACGAACACACACATTATTACAACGGAAACTATCAAGCCCAGCTGAATGCACAGGTCTTGCACAGGCGAATAAGAGACGCTTCTTTCTAGGGCAAATCTTTGGTCATCACCGACTATGCCATGTTTCAGGACGAAACGTAACTGCATATTAACAATCATGAAATGAAAATTTACCGGACGGCAAAACATATACGGTAACAACAGAAAACCATGCAGTTGCGCCATCGCCGTTATATTTTAGGAATCGTTATGTGTAATGCGATGGGCCGACAGAAACGCAATGGAATGTCAGATACCCGCAACATTTTTTTGTCGCATGTGCTGAATGCTGTCACTGAGTGTTCTTTTTTTTGCGGCGACTGTGTGCAGCATTTTTAGAGGTGGCTACAATGCTCGTAAACTGGCCCGAAGGCATCGGTAGCGAAAGAAGGCCGCAGCTTCCGCATTTTGGTGGAGTTGAAACGCTAGAGACCAGTGCACTTAAATTTGAGAGGAGGACCAGTAGTGAGCACGAGATAGCCAATATTTTTGGAGCCCTCCTCTACGGCGTCCCTGACAATTATGTCATAGTTTTGCAAAACAAAACAGCAACAATTATTCTTATAAAACCCTGGGAAGCAATCATTTTTGTGTACTTACCAAGGCCCCTCTAGCCACATATTAGTTGCTGATTCCGATTCCAGCATGGCGATCTGAGCTTTCATCATTTCTCGTAAATTATGGCCATGTCTTTTCTTCGTATTTTACTGTTGCATAATCTGAAATAGCTGATAGCAATGCCCGCTAGTATGTCAAATGCCTCTAGCGCAGTTACAAATATATTTCTTTGTAGCAAATACACATGCCACCGTTGTCCCGACGTAAAAATTTACTCGCTGACCGGTGATCCACGCTTTGCGTCGAGCGATAAGAGGACCTACATAATTATAGGTCAGTACTGCACAGCCCTATCTTCGTTCAGTCGGTACTTGGCCAGTTCTATTAGTCTACGCACATCTCTGCTGCGCAGCATGCCAGGGAACCTCGATGCAAGACTGACAGACTCATTCATTTACTCACTGATTTATTGATTGATTTATTGATTGATCAATTAATCGATCGAATGACTGACTTATGTATCAGCTTCTGGCCAGCTCATTTGTCTAATCACTCATTCGTGGATTGTATACTAACTTTTTCTCCTCGCTGTCTTCGCTTTTGATCTCAACACCAGGAGGAGGCTTCTTCTGCAGGTACGTCGTCGCCAATTTGAGCAGAGCCTGCATCACAAAGAAACAGTTTTCTAAGTGCAGCGTGGTCTCTCATTCGTGTGGGCAATCCACCTGCTTCTTCATGGCTCTCAGCTACGCAGCGGTGCTCGGCAAAAAGTGGGCCAAGGACTTTTAGGAAGCTCTGCTGCCCACATTTAACCTTAGCAAAACACTGGCTTCAACAACCTGGGGCCACGCAATAAAGCGCCGCCAATAAGCGATTGGTAGTTTACACAAATTTTGCATTTGTAATGAACGTCATAACTATTCATAAAAATGATCACAGGGCAAAGATGGTTGGGTTTCTGTAAACAGACGAACCTAGTTATGGTGAAAAATGATATAGCAAATCACCGGTAGTAGTGAACTAAATACCAACTTTGGTTGGTCACGCTTCGTTTCAGTGACATTTTCTTTTTTATAACAAATTTGTAACCTGAGAGAACCATCGCGTTACTGTCTGCAGCGAAAACATATTCGGTTCCTTAGAGGCTAAACATTCAAATTCTACAATAAAAAGGAAAGTATATATTGAAAACACTTCACAATCACGTCTACATAATAGGTATAGTTTTGTTATTGAAAATTAAACATAACATGTGAAGAAAACCATCGTGGCAGTGCTTGTCATTAGCACTGCGTCCGTGGCGCTGATTGCGAGTGTGGTTTTCTTTCAGTCACGCATAATATACCCCCATGTACTCTCCCTCATTACTAGTACAAAACAACAAAAGATACAAAAAAATGGAGATTCAGCCTGCGCAGAGAAACAACTGCCCGACTTGCAATTTATAGACACGTCACACACCTGAAGTCTGAAGCTGCAGCTCGGCTGAAAAGTTTCGGCAATGTAGTTGTAATCTTCCACACGTGTGGTGCAGTCCATTGCATCTATAAAATCATCTATCCACTAACCACTACAGGACCACGAGAACTGCAATTATCACATTGTTTGTCAAGTTCAGTCAGCGAATCTTCGACACAGTGTGAAAGCACTGGAACTGGTAGAAAATGCTAACGAAAATTTCGCACTGGTAAAAAACTAGCACTTGAATTCTTGTAGGGTAGAGACAAGAAACGTTTTTCTTTTAAATACAAAGCATTTCTTAGCGAACTGAGGCAACTTTGACCGTATCTATCTATCTATCTATCTATCTATCTATCTATCTATCTATCTATCTATCTATCTATCTATCTATCTATTTATCTATCTATCTGTCTATCTGTCTGTCTATCTGTTTATCTATCTATCTATCTATCTATCTATCTATCTGTCTGATCTGTCTATCTGTCTAGTCTATGTCTAGTCTAGTCTGATCTAGTCTAGTCTATCTGTCTATCTATCTATCTATCTATCTATCTATCTGTCTGTCTGTCTGTCTGTCTGTCTGTCTGTCTGTCTGTCTGTCTATCTGATCTAGCTATCTGTCTGTCTGTCTGTCTGTCTGTCTGTCTGTCTGTCTGTCTGTCTGTCTGTCTGTCTGTCTGTCTGTCTGTCTGTCTGTCTGTCTGTCTGTCGTCTGTCTGTCTGTCTGTCTGTCTGTCTGTCTGTCTGTCTGTCTGTCTGTCTGTCTGTCTGTCTGTCTGTCTGTCTGTCTGCTGTCTGCCTGTCTGTCTGTCTGTCTGTCTGTCTGTCTGTCTGTCTATCTATCTATCTATCTATCTATCTATCTATCTATCTATCTATCTATCTATCTATCTATCTATCTATCTATCTATCTATCATCTATCTGCCTGTCTGTCTGTCTGTCTGTCTGCCTGTCTGCCTGTCTGTCTGTCTGTCTGTCTGTCTGCCTGCCTGCCTGCCTAGCCGTTTGGATAATAGGATCTTTGCCAAAATGGGTATGACATTACACGACTGCGTGAGGAGCAAAAAAGACGAGTCAGAACTTTAAAATCATGACATAAATGACATGAATGTCATGATTTACATGTTATGGTCCTCCGCCTTTTTTTGCCGTAGCTGCGTTCACATGACATACTGCAAAACTTGTATGGTATGACATGACTGCATGGTGAACATAAGTGGCAGGCGCTTATGTGGAAATCAAGGCATGCATGTCAACCAAGTGACGACTACACGCCATACGCTCATAGTGTGCTCGCGGTCGTTTCGCTAGCTTCACATATATATACCGGATTTGGTATTGCTTGACGGGAATGGATGACGAGGTTATTTTACTGGTGCAAACACGATCATCATGAAAGTGTGTCATGTAAGAGCATGACAACATACCACGCATATAATGCGCTCACAGCCGTTTTGCTGGCTTCACATATACCAAATTCCGTTTTACGTAACGTGAATAAACGACGAACTATAATGCTAGGCGCAAACATAATAATCATGACATGTAAGTCATGTACGGATTAATTTACGTGCACCTCGTTACGTTGTGCTGATTTTAAAGTGACATATCAACCTTCCTCATTCGTGCTTCGCATGTGATTGATTCCCACTGTACGTGAGATCTGGCAATTGTTTGTCTCCATGCAGTTTTTTCACGATCGACTCCGATAAGTATGGCATGCCAACGTGTCCACCGCTGTAACCTAGTAACTTCAGACAATCATTGCGAAGAGTACAGGTCGATGCTCTCAAGAGAAATTATTAAGCTTACTTTGAGGTTCGAGGCTTATTTCAATGATCCTGATAGCTGCGTCCTACGATCTTGCACTAATTCCGGAATCAGGCCACCTTTTTTCAAACGGCTATGTCACGTGATGAGGACATGGTGGCATCATGAGGCTTTTCTGCCCGTCCTGCCACACTAAACGACGTGGTCTGTATTCAGGGTCAAAATCAGAAAAGAGGATCCTGCCATCTTGGCCTACGGTTTCGCACATGCGCGAAGCTCCGAAAGGCCCTCTTGTGCTTCTTGAGGACGACCGAACTTCGCGAGCGCCTGTGAACAAGCAGAGCGAGTTCGTGTTGTGCAGGTTCACATGATCCCTCTATTTCTTACACTTGTTCCTTCTTCTCTGTTGTTTCTATTATCCCACCTTTCCCTCAACCCCCGTGAGTAATCCATCTTAAACAATCGGGTAACCAACCAAGACAAAGTTTGGTTAACCTCCTCGACTATGATTTCTCTTTCCTTTAACTTTTCCTCTCTCCTGTGCGTGATTCGTGTTGACGCGCCTACGCCCAGTATTTCAACTCATGAGACGTATAAGGCTTTCACTTTAACACAATCCAGCACGCGCGCACACCCTGCTCCGCATGAAATCCAAGCTACGTACGACCCTCAGCCTCGAGAAAGTTCTACTCATGCTATTGTGTTGTAGGGAACTAGCGTAGGACGGAGAGCTTGCACCGCATGTTCGGACACGGGTTCAGACTACTGGGTCAGCCCCAACGGCGCCAGCGCAATTACGGTGGTCTCTCTCGAGACCTAAGCGATACCGAGAGCAGGGCTGCGGTGGTTCGCTGCGATTTGCCCTGGCGCATAGCTGAAAAAGAAGCGTGGCCGGAATATTGCGCTGCCGTCAGGTTCACAGCGTGTGCCACTCGCGCCTCGTTTGGCCTGCCTGCTGGATCACACTTTTAGCAAAATGCGGTGCACTATAACCCTAGGATCGGCCAAGTGTAGTAGGAGCATCCCGAGTCCAGTGGCCGTGTTGTAACCAAAGTGGGCTGCGTACGGCTTATTGTGGTATCATGGTGCCAGTTTTTTTTTATTTATACGCAAAAAAGCGAAGGTATTCGTATAGCGGGCTATCCTATCATGATGTAAATATTCAAGACGCACACAGGGACAAGAAAACTTAAGAATAAAAGAATGAGCAATAAGTAATCAGAAGCACGATGTATGTAAGTGAGGCGTATCAAGCATGACTGTAGTCGAAAGGCACAGTCCAGTTCATGCAACATCCTCGCATCCCTGACATGGTTTATAAGTGACATGATTCATAACTATTGCAGAAGAAGGTCCCAAGTTAAACATTGTCAGGGCCACCTGCTAGCGGTATTGTATTGATTGAATACAGGGAAGGCAAATGGCGAGCAAAATAATAGCAAGTTGGAAACAAGAAATTAAAAAAGTAAGAATAAAAATGACTCAAAACAATAAAATTTTGCAATAGTACAAAAAACAAAACATTAATGCATAGTGAAACTAATCAAGGTTAATTCTAAGCTGACAAAGTGTAAAACAATCCACACGCCACAAAAGAAAGTAAAAGCGCGATCCACCATTTGCGTTCCTTTACGGCGCATGCGCGGCCCACGACGGCAATTTGTGCCGCATATGGATGCACTTTGTGAGGCGGTTCCAGCAGTAGCATTGTTTTTTTGTTTTTTTCTGACTTCCCGTTGTTGAAAGGTAGAGTTCCTATATATGCTGCCTTTAGATAGCAGAGTTGCGCTTTCGTTTTCTAACGCCACTAGCAGCCATGCACTGCGGAGAAAGTGATGCACAGGCTGCACTACCGAAAGCGATCGCCGTCCACCTTGAATCTATCAAGCAACCATCGTGCGCTCTGTAGCTTTTCAGCTACGAACTGGCACTTCTACTTGCTTGACGTTCATCTCCTTAAGCTTCGACAGCATAGTATTTGCGTGGATTTGACACACTTCTAGAAAAACATAGTGAAATAATCAATAGGCTTGTGGGGCACTCCTTCAAAGCCAGAGAATCTATATCTGGTGTTTATCAGTTGCTGCTTATCTTCCATAGCTGGCGCCACTGAAGGAGTGAAACAGCCCCTCAACGTTTTTTTTCTCAGCATAAAAGCATATTATGCGAGAATTTTGAGTAAAACACATCCCTTGTTTTATTGTTTACACCAGTTTTTATAAACGAGGCTACATTGCCATTAGCTGTCAGAAACGAGAAAAGTGGACAGCCGGGAAGTTACCGAGATGCTACGCGTTACGGTATAGCATGCGTTAGAGCATGGATCTAAGGTTTAATATACACAGTAAAAATTTTTACACCCAGAAGGGTGTAAATGAGCTTGTCCCGTGGACGACACCTTAAGGGTGTTAATTCAGCACCTTCCCAAAA